TTTTGTTATGGAAAATATTTATCAAGCCTTTTTTTTTTTTTTTTCATTTGTTGGTTCTCCTAACAGTGCCATAATAACTCCTCTTATGTGTGTGATTCAGTTGCTCTCATATGCAACTCAGTTATTTAAATCTGCAGCGGGGTGGGTGTTTTTTGGTTATCAATTGAATATTATCATCTTGTACATGAATATTTTAGGTGAATGTTTCATTCATCAAAGTAATGGTCATTCTTTTGCCAAGTTAATGTCTTTGCACGGTTTAGAAGCTGGCTAAAGGTACAGATTTATTGTTCATAATCTACTTTCTAAATATGAGCTGACAGTCAAAAATGGAATTTATCTGTTCAGCAGAAGAGCCCCTGCATTAGCTACATGTTTTTGCAACAGTATTTCTTGCCTTGGCATACCTCTTTGAAAATTATCCTTGGAAGAGGAGATTTCTGTCGTATATTCTTCTCATCAAATGAGATGTGATTTTCATTATTTTGCTTGAATGTGAGAAAATGAAAGAAATTACTTGATTGGTTTATGGTGCTGATTCAGCGTTTTCTGGACTAAAAATGACCTGGACGACAGAATGGGATTACGGCACGCAATAATGGATGCTTTATTTGGTGATAAGAAAGTCTCTTCTTCTGACTGAGAAGAAGAGAATGAAAAATATTTCTCTTATTAGGTGATTCAGTACCCAGATATTGACAGACAAATTAATTTGAAATACTTCTTCAGTTGCAGAACCTGCTAGCAGGCAGAAATTAAGGGAGGATAATGGCCACAGCTTGAAAGTRGTGCATTTATGAAGTGCACAACAGAAGTGCTGGTGGATGGGGAAGAATTTATATTTTATCCTCTTAGCCAGTGATGGGATCTTATGTTCCTGGCTAGAACTGCAGGGTGGATAGCAGCTYGGAGCCTAGCAGGGTCCCCAGGAGCTCCAGCCAGCCAGCCAGTGCTCCATGGTGTGCTTAGTAATTCAGAATTCAAACGCCAGGAAGGCTTATGGAGGAAGAGATAAAATGCAGGTATTTTCTGATGGAAGAGTTACAGCCAGGATTTCTCACTCTTCATGGTGGTTGAAGGAAAGGAAAATGACTCTGGTGTTCACCTTGAGGGTCTCACACTGAGTGGAGAAGCCTGGGGAAGAAATGGCTTCACACAGGCAGGACAGTCAGGATTTGTCTTTGCTACAGTGACTGGGTTCAGAAAATTATCCACCCTCCCCAGGTGTGCAAATCTGGGCTGAATTCTGTCCTCGGAAGCAGTGGAGACCACTTAGTATTTTATAGGGCCAAGCTGTAAGGATAAGGAAGAGAGAGCAGCCCTATTGTTCCCTRAGCCCCAGTTTTTATCTTTGTTTCCATTTGAAACCCTAATCATAAAACTGCCTGCAGAGCGGTTGCCTTGCTGTTCCTCTAAATGAGAATTCCAGCTTTTATGCTAATTCAGTTTCAGGTTTCTTTGAACCTGCAGTTTATGGGCCTCTGCTTAAAACTGCAATCTGTTCTGCATAAAAGAAGGGATTACAAAGGGGTTTAGTTTTGCAAATGCTGCAGAAAAATAAAAATAATAAAAAAGTTGCACTGTCATTAATATGTTTCCGCAGAAGTTTTCTGCTTTGTCAAATGAAAAGCGTTACTTACACGGCGATTTACCCGGGGATGTTCTACATCCAGAGCTCTGTTCCCCTCAGAAAGGGACATCTGCTCTTTGTGTCACCCTTTCCCCACGTGCCCTGTCCCTGCTGGAGGGGAACTGAGGGAGCATCGCTCCCATGCACTGCCAGGAGCTCACCCTGGGGCTGGGCTGCTCCGGGAGATCCCTGCCAAATCCATCCCTGCCAAATCCATCCCCACCAAATCCATTCCCACCAAATCCATCCCCACCAAATCCAGCTGAACCCACCCTCCCACCCATCACTTCACCTGGCGTCTCTCATGACCTTTTTACGGCCACACCAGTGGTGATTTTGCCGCTGTCGAGGTCACTCTCAAGAACAGGTTCCTTTTCCTGAACCTCTTACAGTGTTGGACTTTAAGCACCTTCTGGTCCGGACATTATGCCGTGGCTGGCTGTTCACAGCCATAAAACTCCACTGATAGCTACATAAATTCTTTTCTTGGGGAAAAAGATCCTGCATGTCTTACCCAGTAACAGGCAAAATCTTGTATGTTTTCAAAGCATTATGGAGGGCTTTGTAAGGCACCATAACCACGCTCCAAAATCAGACACTATGGTGTCTTCTGAGAAGGTTAGCAACTTAATGGAAACGTAAATGTTTCCAGGCTTTGACAGAATACCGAAGAATTGGAATATCCACTTTTCATGTTGCCAGGAAAAAAGCTGCAGAACCTTCCAGGTGAGGTGGGGTTTGCCATAAATAATTTAATCCAATATAATCTGCTGTAATTTCAATATTCGTTTGCTTCTTGTGCCAGAGATGGATAATTCTTTGGAATTACTCTACGACTTGGAAATGAATGTCTGCTTCCTTGCCTGACTTCTGGGCAGCTTTAGGTCATTTTTATAAAATACTTGGATCTGAAAACCTCTTCCAGAGAGTGAAAGATCTTGAAATTACTTTTGATCCAAGTTCAATGCACTTCATTTGGCTGTTGTTGTGGCAGAAACAAATGTCGACGCTGACAGAGACCACAGACAGATGAAAAAAATCCTGGCAAGGTCCCACATAGATAAGAGACAGAAGGTTTCAAAAACCTATCCAGGCATAACCTAAAACACAGGGAAGTATTGCTGTCAGGAGAGAGGGAAGCTTGATCCAAAGGCCATTTAAATCACTGCAGGAAGGAGRGGTCCCTTTGATTTAATTTGGCTTTGAGTGAATTTCTAAACTCCCAATTTCGCATTTGGAATTGCACAACGCATTTTGTGCATGTGTAATTTTGTAGCAGGAAAACAGAGGTCCTTGATTTATCTCTAAGGCAYGAATAATGAACATAATGAGGCCCAGAGCCCTGGCAATAAACCCTCACAGCCCCAGGGAGATGAGCAGGTAAATGCATTTCTGATTTTGTGTAYGCTGGGATTTCAGGTGTGGCATGTGGTTAACATTGGAAAAATCCAGTACAGACAAGCCTGTCTTTCATCCAGACTAAATTTATCAAATTAAAGTTTTATGAGGAGCCTGGGCTTTAATTAGAGCCTGTCTTACCGTGTCAGGATACGGAAAGTCTTAACCAAGGTGCTCATAGAAGAGATGAGCTGCCACACCTTGGTACTGTGCATTTAATTCCTCATCCAGGTACAGCCTCACCATCAATCCACACAGTCCCCAAGTGCTGTGACTGTAAGAGAACACTCTGCCAGCTTAATGCCTTTATAAATTAATTTTTGGTGGCAATTGGAATCTGCATCAGGCAACATGCATGGCCAGTGGGCCATAATGGCTTTTGGCCATTGTTGATTCCAGAGACCAGATCTGAAGCCATTTCTGTTGGGTTTCTAGAGGAGGAGATGGAAACCACCTTTTTGACAGCACAAGGTTATTTTTGCCATATAAATTTACTAGATGCAAATATATATTTATTGATGTAAAAACCTGTGAAAGTTTAACAGCCAAAATCCATGCTCAGTTAATGTGTGGAAATGCAGGGATAACTACTAAGCTGGACAATCCTGGAGAACTCATTTCCATTGCCATACCAGGATCTGAGGCTGCCCACAATACTTTAATTTTCCAGTRGAGACCACTTGCCCCAGTTTCACCAAAGCATTCCCACCCTGGATCAGCCCTGGCATGAAAGCACTGTGGTGTCTGCGGCCGTGGTGTGAACCTGGAGCTGTGCTGGGTGTGTTCATCTCCGGGGTATCATCACTGTTCTTTGTACATCTTCCCACCCCACTGTCCCAGCAGAAACCACCACAGTCAGTGGGACTGCAGCTCAGATAGGAATCTCGGAGAAGCCACTGAAGGGGAAAACTTCAATGGGTTCYTAAATTGATCATACGGTGATGGAATGAGGAATGAATGGGAAATATTTGCATAAAATCCTGTAGTTCCACATGGGTAATTGGTAGGAGTTCTTGCCTAATTATGGYAGTTGAGCTTGTGTGGACAGTCAGATCATGATTCCTCTTTCCCCTCACATGATGTGGGATTTGTTCTGGGCAGGGCCACCAGAGCCCCTGCAGCCATCTGCACCCCGAGGGGAGTCCCTCAGCATCTCATGTCCTGAGGGGAGCTCGGAGCTGGGCCAGGACACAAGTGCATCATTCCAAGYTCCCACTGGATTTTGGGCACAAACCCATATTCCTGGCTCAGGTGAGGCCAACCAGGCACATGCAGCTCTTGCTCTGCTTTTGTTTTCTGGCTGGTGTAGGTAGTTCCCATCTTTTCCYTAGGAGAGTCACCTCCTCCAGACTGAGCTTTGCCACAGGACTTGGGGTGAATAGGGCTTGTCAACCCTGTTTCTGAGGATTAAGCTCAAATCCAAGTGGAACCCAGAGGGGTTTAATTCCATTAGCACTCCTAGCCCAGTATGGGTTTGAAACCCATTTCCAGGTTTGAAATCTCGAGAACACTCCCTGGGCACGGTCTTGCAAGCCTGTAAATCCTCTCTTAGCACCTATCCCTTTCCCAGGAAACATCTCACCGTATGGGGCTACCGTGCCAATGTGCATAACTGCCTCTCATCTTCCCGGGAAACATCATTTGGCTCCGAGTGCTGCGCTTCAGTGAATAATCRTTTATGCCATCGTGTATCTGCGCGTTTATTTTCCGCGGTGGCCATTACTAATGGTGTGCTGCGCTTAAGGAAAACCTACAGCGAGTGGGAAATCCACTGCCCGCTGACAATAATGTTCAGTGCTGGAAGAAGTCAGGCGAGGAGTCTCTGCACGGGGAGCTCASGGAGGCACCACAGCTCAGCGAGCAGCCGGGGTCCCCGGCAGGCCACCCTGCCTGCAGCTGGGGACGCTGAGCTTTCCCACTTTAAGAAAGAAAAGAAAATCAAATTTCCGTTAAAACAAAAAAAAATTGCTAAATGCAATACGATGTTTTCGATCGCGTTTCCTTCCGCGGAGCTCTACAAAGTGATGTTCGTGGAGCTTTCGCGACCGATGCTCGTGTCCGTGTGCCGCCATCCCGGGGGCAGGGGGGACCGTCCGGCTCCGCGGCCGCCGCGGGTGCCTCGCACCACCCTGAGGAGCCGCGGCCGGAGGTTCCGCGCATCCCCGTAGGCCGCTGCAGGCCGACCGCTGGCGGACGGGGAGCGCGGGTCCCTCCCGCGGAGCCGCCCCCGCCCGGGCCGGGCCGCCCCCG